CCCACAGGATTATAATCCCATGGAACCACCTTCCCGCTGAAGCCGTAAAAGACAAGACTTTGTTTTGAATTTCAAAATCAAACTAGACAACATTATCAAGGCAAATGGAGGAGCCTTTGACAAGCCACTGGCTTCCTGTCCTCGTCGAGGCTACTAGTGGTAATGCCTCACAGGTAAAATAAAGTCACTTCTACCAAAATAAAGGGGAATTCAAATAAATGACACAACTACTGTACTGTATTTTGAATGGAGTGATGTTACGAACCCGGATCCAGCGTCCGAGCACGGAGCAGTGACGACCGCGCCATCTGTGGGTCAGCTCCCGAAGCCCCCTCCAAACAGGCGACGACACCTGGTGAGGACGACGTGTACTGGCTGCGAGGGCCAGTTTCCAGTCCCGTTCAGCGCTCAACACCGCCGCCGCTGACCTCTGGTGAGGTGGTGCTCAGACTACAATGCCATCTATGGAGTGGATATGTCGGGCGTTTGTGTCTGAGCCTGTAAGTGAGGTGTTTTAGTGTCCCTGTTATTGATGACGTGTCTGCTTACAGAGTCGACCTGGGACTGCTGTGATGGAAGTTGAGTCAGTCTACCCAAGGCAGCCGTCCCCATACCTTGTGCTTTGCTGCAGCAGCTGTGAAGTCGTCCCCTGGAAGAACACTGTGGTGTTACCCTGTCAGTGGAGTGGCAGTAGAAGGATTACCCGGGACCGACTGCTGGAGACGATTATCCACTGGGGTACTGAGGACAGGAGAGTGATTTGTGGTATCACACGAGGCTCCTGACTAGGGCGCTACCCTAGTATCGCTCGTGGAGTGGCCTGACCAGCCTTGCTGATCCGGAACCTGCCAGCAGACCTGCTGGACTTGTGGTTGACGGCCTCCACGGCGGTGCCCCCAGTGGAACTGTGTTTTGGCTGGCCTGTGTTTGGGGTAGACTCAGCTTGGTCGAAGGATTCGTCAAGAGACCACGAAAGCACCGAGGACTCGGCACCGAGAATCTGGATCCAGAGTCTTCAGCAGAAGACGATTGTGTATTTCCCCTGTACAGTGTTAATACCCCTCCCCCTGTGCACTCTTTTATATATATTATTTATTTGGTGATGGTAACAATTATAGTCTTAAGTTCTTAACTTTCTTTCCCTTCCCCCCTTAAGTTTATTGCGTCACGGATCTCATTCCTTGAAAGCCACTGCTGGCTTGGGGCCGGATACTACTTCCTCTAATAACATCAGAGTAAGAACCCCGTTGCGTCCCGAGAGGGCCGTAACAAGTGATTTAAAGCAACCAGTATTATGCGGGCATTACATACACTTCAGGCACATGGAGGACACACTACTGACATGGAATAAATTATATTATTACACAGCTCTCTGTGATGAGATGAGAACAGACCTGAGGTAAAACCCTCACAAGAGTAAGGCTGGTGCCTCACCATGCAGCCCAGAACACACCACCACCTGCTACCAGAAGTGTCGTTTCCGAGTGTAGTGGAGGGCGAGGAGAATACACACAAGTGCACCAAAGACACTCTACATCACACTACAATAAATAATCTCTCTAATACACAACAACATACATGCAATCACTGTCAATTTATAAATTAACAGTGCCTTAAATAAAAGTAAAAAATAAGAAACTGACTGTTACGACCCTGGGTTCCTCAATTGGAAACCAGAGGTCAAATTGAGCTAAATAAGCTACTTTATATTAGTGAGACGCATGGCGAGGTGTTTGTGTTTGTATCTGCAACATCCTTCCTCTCGCCTCTGTCGTGCTTTAACTTTTACCCCTCCTGCGGTTCCTGTTCCTCTTTACCACCTCCCTCTTTCTGTCCGGTTATCTCGCCTACAGGATTCTCTTTCCGTTCGTATTTCTGATGTTTCTCCTCGTGTTGTTCCTTCTTTGCCCCCGTGGAGGGTCCCTCTTCCGCGGTTTTGTACATCCTTGACCCGTATCACTAAAGCTTTTACCCTTCCTACGGTTCTAAAACGCCTTTTCCTCGGCACTTTTCTTCTCACTCCCGCTCCGTTTCTGTCTTCACCGATGGGTCTAAGTCAGCGGACGGTGTTGGCTACTCTGTTGTTTTTCCTGATCGCACTTATATGTGTCGCTTGCCTCCGGAGACTAGCATCTTTGCAGCGGGACTTTATGCTATTCTCTATGCTCTTCGTCTCCTGCTTTCTCGTTGTCAGTCTTCCTTTGTAGTTGTTGTTGACTCTCGTAGTGCCCTCATGGCTCTCGGGTCCTTTAATCCGGTTCATCCAGTAGTTGTCGAGATCCAGCATTGGCTGTTTCTCGTTCACAGTAAATTTAAGTCGGTTGAGTTTTGTTGGGTTCCCAGCCATATTGGTGTGTCTTTAAATGAGCGTGCGGATGCTGCCGCCAAGGAAGCTGTCCGCTCTTGTCCCATCTCTCGTAAAGGCATTCCGTATTCCGACTTTTACCCGGTTATCCATTCCTCAGTCCTTACCCGTTGGCAGGCTTCTTGGTTGTCTGTTACTGGTAACAAGCTACGTACTCTTAAATGTTGTTTCCTCGTGGCCATCCTCCTTCCACCGTAACCGGAGGTGGGAAACAGCTCTAGCGAGGTTGCGTATTGGCCATACTCGCTTAACCCATGGTCACTTGATGGAGCGCCGCCCTGCCCCTTATTGTCCTAGTTGCATTGTCCCTCTTACGGTCGTGCATGTCCTTCTTGAATGTCCTGACTTCCAGGACGAGCGAGTGTCTTGCTTTCCGACCGCCCCTCGCGGTCACCTGTCCCTCGATAGAATTCTTGGTGACTGATACTTTTGATATCGTTCGCCTTATGCGTTTTTGTTCTCGTATTGGCATGCTATTGGCGTATTTAGCACCCTCTGATTATTTTGCGTATTTGATGGTGCTACATAGCCTTCCCGGTTTGGTGCCTTCTTTGATAATTACTTACTTACTTGTGTTTGTATCTTCCCTGCCAGACGTAAGAAGATTCTTGTTTCTCAAAGAGCATTTAAAGACTGAGCTCGGGCTTGATTATTAAGTAATAAAATAGGCATCAACTATGTTTACAAATGATCAGAAAGTATTAGTAAAGTAGATCTGAGTAAACTTGGATATAGGGCTGCTGTACGATTAGTTGAGTAGTATGCCGGCAGCAAGTGAGCTGAGGAAGGAGACTGGAGACGGTCTCCCTTCTCTGGCTGGTGTTCGTGAGGTCAAGACCTTCCCTGAGTTGCTCTGCACTCCCCTACCTTTCCTCTTACTTCTTTCCCTTACCTTAAGTTCCTGCAATCATTAAGATAAGTACTGTACTAATTACCTAAGTGTAGTTACAGGATGAGAGCTACGCTCGTGGTGTCCCGTCTTCCCAGCACTCTTTGTCATATAACGCTTTGAAACTACTGACGGTCTTGGCCTCCACCACCTTCTCACTTAACTTGTTCCAACCGTCTACCACTCTATTTGCGAAGGTGAATTTTCTTATATTTCTTCGGCATCTGTGTTTAGCTAGTTTAAATCTATGACCTCTTGTTCTTGAAATTCCAGGTCTCAGGAAGTCTTCCCTGTCGATTTTATCAATTCCTGTTACTATTTTGTATGTAGTGATCATATCACCTCTTTTTCTTCTGTCTTCTAGTTTTGGCATATTTAATGCTTCTAACCTCTCCTCGTAGCTCTTGCCCTTCAGTTCTGGGAGCCACTTAGTAGCATGTCTTTGCACCTTTTCCAGTTTGTTGATGTGCTTCTTAAGATATGGGCACCACACAACAGCTGCATATTCTAGCTTTGGCCTAACAAAAGTCATGAACAATTTCTTTAGTATATCGCCATCCATGTATTTAAATGCAATTCTGAAGTTAGAAAGCATAGCATAGGCTCCTTGCACAATATTCTTTATGTGGTCCTCAGGTGATAGTTTTCTATCTAGAACCACTCCTAGATCTCTTTCTTTATCAGAATTCTTTAAAGATTTCTCACATAATATATAGGTTGTGTGGGGTCTATGTTCTCCTATTCCACATTCCATAACATGACATTTATTAACATTAAATTCCATTTGCCAAGTGGTGCTCCATATACTTATTTTGTCCAGGTCTTCTTGAAGGGCATGACAGTCATCTAAATTCCTTATCCTTCCTATTATCTTAGCATCATCAGCAAACATGTTCATATAATTCTGTATACCAACTGGTAGATCATTTAATGTACTGTGTAGATGTACTGTGTATCTAATTGTGCCTACTCTGGAAGTGTAAGACTTGTGAAGACCGTGGGTAGTATTTGCCAGTGTTCTGGGTACCCCTAAGTGTTGTGTTGTGTTAGGGTACCCCACGTGGGCTCACTACCCCTAAGCTGCCTCAAGTTCTTCACTAGTAAACTTTACCCTAGCTTGTGCTATTGTAAACCTTGTATCCTACCTATGTGGACCAAGGCTTTTAACGTAAGATAGTGTGGTAAAGTAATTATTGTTATTGGTGTGAATGTATATGGCGGGGTTGTTAAGGGGTTAATAAATAAGTTAATTGGTTAAAGGAGTATCCATTCTTCCTGTGTAGGAGATCTGATCTACCTCTAGGCTGACAATTTCAGTAATAAGCCACTATTAGTTTACTCTTATATGTTTCTTGGGGGGCCGGGCCTTTAAGATCTCCATTACTTTGGTTACATCTTGATGCTAACTTCTGACCCTACTCTAAATTAATACTAGATCCCCCATAGTACAACTCACTATTTATAACACTGACATTTATAATAAATAAATATTGAAAGAAAACAAAAAATTAGAGATTAGAGGCGCCAGGTGCATGTGGTTGTGAGCCAACTGTGCCAACCACTGCTACCACAACCAACACAGTCACAATCTAGCAGTCATAACCACAATCTGTTGGACGTCAGGTTGTAACAAATAACTTGTCCAACTAGTTGCAGCAAGTGTGATATATAATTTCATCATCCAACTGCAATCTATTTTAGGATTCAAATGATAAGTAAAGATTATTTTAGGAAAATATCTATATATTTTCATTACTGTATATATATACATATATATATATATACATAGTCTATCTTCACATTGCCAATACTAATTACAATCTACACACACACACACACACACTATGACAGCTATTTATACATCTGATAACTTTTGTCTTGTGAGAATGTTACTTTATGAAAACCAGCCCACAACACTGCAGACTTCAATGTTCTACCTTACAACTAAACAAATTTGACTTGATAAGTTCCACTCTCATGAGCTTAAATTGTTTGTTATATATAACAAACCCGGGGAGAGGAGGGGAGCAAATTTCTAAATTTGTTTCCAAAGAATTTGTTAGATAAATTATTTGAATAATGCCACATCTATGTTGCATGTATTTTATACCATTATTGACTAAGTTGGTAAAATTACAACTTGTATCACTAATACTAACAATTAATGTACTTATTTACATGTTAAACAACTAATAAGACTTCCAACACCTATGATGCACATTTACAACCTTCTAAAAAATTATGGTTGTTTTAATAATATCAAAGTTGGGGGCAACTCAAAGGAACACAAGCATGATACTGTACTTTACTGTTGTGATTTGGTCAAATTATTCTCACTACATATTTGTACAACACTATTACAACCTGGAATATGATAAAGTGTAGGATGATCAGGGTATTAAGAAATCAAATTAGTTAGTGTAAGCCACACCTATATACTTATTGACACTTGTCATTCCCATTAGTGTACAATAAAATCTTGTCAAACTGCTTGCATCTCATCGAAATTTTGTGACTGCATCCTGCTGATGCTTCATCTTTTTTATTTAAAAAGAATTTAACAATTTTGATTGAACAATTTGGCATTAAGAAATTGGGTAACTATGACAGGATGCTGATTTTTAGTCAAAATGAAGGACTCAGTTCTCTGCAGTTTCTTTCATCTTGACAAGAGGTGTATTCTTAGCCACATTATCACCTTGACTGAAGAGGACTTTCTCCACCACACCCGGGCTGGCGGCCTTGATCACATACTGTTGAAATAAAAAATGCTGTTTGTCACATAAAATTACAGGTCTAACTAAAGGTTCAGTTTAAGGATCTGATTACACTAATAACAAACTGAACACAGTTTGAATGCACATGCACCCCAGGGGTAAGGAATCCCTGGGCTAGCATACAATATATCTTTTTACAGTGTGGTGTAACTACAGTGGTTATATTTTAATTGCAACCCAAATATCTCCCAAGGTCTTCCTATCTCTAGACATGATCAAAGTGCAAAACAAGTAGGGCCAGGAATAGGTGGAAAAAGCAATGGGTGGAGAAAGTGTAAATGGAAAAAGGAAGAAAAGGGGAGGGGGGGGGGAGGTGTTGGAAATAGATGGGGCAGAATGGGCTTGTAGGGAAGGGGAGGGGGGGTCTGGAGGCATTATTAAATGAGGCAGGAGAAATGGTGTAATTGTGCTTGGTAGGTTTAAACATCCAACCAACTTGTACCATATGACCTTGTACCTTGTATCATGCAATTATGACAATTTTATACAATGATGAAGACTGCATTCACGTAGTAAAATTAATTACAATAACCACATTCATATAGCAATGTAACCATGAAACAATATTAATATTTTGTTCATGGGTCAAAGTAAACAATTGCAACATTAACCACTGCACTGTGCAAAGCACCTTTAGGCGCTCAGAGTTGTGCTAATTTTCTTTGGGGAGCCCCTACGGCTCCCCGGAGCTATCCAGGCTGATATGGATACCCAAACTATTTTGCATCAGTCAATGTGGGTGGAGTTCTAGGCCTACCGGGGACCACGAGCCAGAACCTGGCCCCCTCTCACAGAGGCACGAGGAGCAATGGCCCATAGAAATGCACATGTGATTTAGAGCATTCTATATCTGCCATCAACCGGGAGAGGCACCCAGAAAGTTAAGCGCCCCAAAACAAACCCCTATTCTGGTTAACCCTTAAAGTACGCATCACGTCATATGACGTGTTGGACGTTGTTCCAGTCAACTGCGCATCACGTCATATGATGTGTTGGAGTACTACGCAAGATTTAAACGGCCCGCGGATACACGGGGTTCACCACACCTTCATCAGGGCTCTTGTAAACAGACGGCATTTTTTTAAAAAATCGTGGGCCAAACTCCCGGGTGTTATTGGCCTCAGTATTGAGTGAGCAACCAAACCTGACGCACGCAGCATGAGCTAACAGCACTGCTGTTCAGCTTGTGACCACAGCATCGCCTAAAAATGCCAAAATATACTTGTTCATGCTATTATGTAGCGATGATATTATTACAGAAGACCCCTGACTGTGATAAAACTGACCAGGGTTCTGATAATAGCAGGATTGTGGTGATATTTAGTGCTGTGCGCCATGGAGGGAGGAGTAATGCTGTGGGAGGGAGGGTGGTGGCGATGTCTTCTGACTGTGTGGCCACCTTTTATTGACTGCACTCAGCATACCAGCTTAGTGGTTCGCTATGGTGAACACAAATGTAGATACTTATATATAACGTGGGTATAGAGGGTATAAACAGCAAGAGAAGGTTTGGAGCCGCCATTTTGGTGAGGGCGGTGGCGTCGTCTGCACGACGCCACCGTGCAGACGACGGTGTTGTTTACTGGTTACCACGATGGTCTTTGGGCACCATACCAGTTTATTTGTACAAGTATGATGAATAAAACAGGTAGATATTTATATATAATGTGTGTATATAGCGTAATAACACCACAGTATTGTTGGAGGAGAAATATTAGTGCGTCTGGTCTTGAGGGCGGCAGCCATCAGCTGACTGTGTGAGGTCCCACGTCTTTGTGCCTTTACTCACCATATAAGCTTAGATGTACAGTTATGGTGAACAAAACATGTAGATACTTATATATAACATCTGTATATAGTGAATTATAGAAAAAACAGTATTGTGGGAGGAGAATGTGGGTGAGTCAGATGACTGGAGGGAGGGCGGGAGTGGCTGGCTGGTACACGGCGGTCACTCCTCATTACTTTTTGACTCATAATAGCTACTTAGTGGTTCGTTATGGTGAACAAAACATGTAGATACTTATATATAACCTGTGCTTATAGTGTAATAACCGACAAAGTATTTGTTCACTGGTTGATGAACATAATTGAATCAACAATATGCACACCATATTTTTGAGTACAGCGATGATTCACTCATTTTATTATATAAATATATCAAACTACACACTATTGAATAATATTACAGCAAAAAAACTATGAAAAATCAATCAGAGACATTGAAATAATTAAGTAATTATCTCTTTGTGGCAACTCCGGCCTGACAGCTGGCGAGCAACAGACCGCCTGGGACGCATGCTGAGTCAGCGCCTATAATTTGCCAGACTTCCCCGCCCTATAGCGGGCAATATATGCCACTTACGATTTTTTTATTATTTTTCCCGTGATCAGTGAACACAAATTAACAGGTTAGGAAGAAAAAATAATTTTGTTTTTTTTTCAAAATGACATGCGCCTGTGGGGATGACAGGATATTAAACCCCAAGCATGTTAAGGGTTAAAACAACAAAAATCGCCAACAAGTGGATAGAACTCCCCAAAAGAAAAATGAGCAAACAGGCATGATGTCACACGAGCCGTGCAGCACGTCTGCGAAGCTGCCCCCATCCCTGGGAAGGGGAAGGTGGAGCCTTAGACCCCCGCGCCGGCAATCCACACCTCAGTTCCTTGGCTGATGGTATGTTGCACAGTTGTGTGACTCCAGCTCCAGTCGTCTCGGCGCTGTTTCTGTTTTCAAAGCTGCTCTTATGGTGGTCATGTGAGCAGGGAGTAATATTCTTAGGTACTCGGGCTGCATGTGCTTAGGGTCACTTTCCCTGAGTGCCTTGTAAGTACTGCCCTTAGGGCTTGGGGTTCTCTTCCACAAGTCACCTAGGGTCTACCTCTGCTGGCCTTTCGCTGCTTGGCGTTTGGTCTCCCTGAGTGTGTGTGGGTTTCCACCCTAGTTTGCCTTGGGGAAAGTGGTAGTTATTGCACTGGTGGGGCGTGGGGTACTGCGTAGCTAGTTTTCACCTTTCACAGTGGCCGGCTCTGTTCTCTTCGGGTACGTTGTCCTCTTGCGAAGTTTTTCTTTTCTTTCTGTTTTTGCCTAGTGGGAGGGGTCTGCCTTGTTCTCCCTTATATTAGGGTTGGTGGTACCCCCTGCTTCACCCTCGTGAGTGGACACGTCCCATGAGTTCAGCTTTTAGCAGTTTGCTTGGTAGTTTGGGACGCCGGTTAGCAGTACCCTGCCTGGGATGACCCTTAGCAGACCCAGTCTAGGGGCCCTGGAAAACCCTGTGGGGACACTCGGGTTCAATGGAAGAGTCCTCGGGTCCTCCAGCCGTAGCTCTGGGGTCTGACCATTGGGCCCGCTCTCTTCCTGCTCTTTCGGCCGCCCCGGTTTTTTCCTTGTGAGGCCAAGACTTTGGAGGCCGACTCGTCCTTGGGGCCTGAAGTGATGGTTCCCGTGGGTCCTGGGAACCACCAACCAGGAAACCACAACCCCTTGGTGTGGGGTTGGGGAGGGGCTGACTTGAGGGGCATTTGGGCCCCGTTGGACCCCGTCTGGGTTTTCCGACCTTCTGAGCAGGCTTACTGTTACAAGGGGTTTTATTTTTCCTCCCCCCCCCCCTCTGCGTACAAGTTGACTTTGGGCATCGGCCCCTCTCCGGGTTCGGTTCTGTGTCCCTTTGGGTCCTGCATGTCCATGGGTCATGGATGCTATTAGGTGCATCTGTACCTCTGTGATTATGTGCTTGTTGATCTCGGATCTCAAAGGTTCGAGTTGATCTTCGATGCGTCTGCATTATTGGAATGTCTGTTGCTTTCCGGTGGGGCTTACCTCCAGTCCTTTCTTGGACTCATTGGTACTCTTCCGTCCATCCTCAAACAAGAGAGGGCAAAAGGGGGAAGACATCCTAAGAGCCAAGGCCCAAGCGGATTCCACAGAGGAGGCAAGCACCGTCTGCTGACACGCAAGTCGGGAGGCATAAAACAGAGCCACCGCATCCCGCAAGATCGGCGCGAAAAGCTTCAGCAAGGCAGCCAATGAGCGAGTCGCCGAGGCCAAGGCGCCAGACACAGGAACAGCCCTAAGCACCCCCACATCCTCCGTGAGCCAGTAGGAAGACAGCTCCAGGAGGAAAAAGAAGCGCAAGGCTGCAACCAAAAGGCCCCGAGCGCACAAGTCCTCCGCCACCTGTGCCGCCGAAAGAGAGGGAACCTGCACATGGAGCTGAACGACACCAACATCCCAGGAAAGGGCAGGAGCAAACAAGCACTCATTGAGGTGCTCAAGGTCGTCCCCCCAGGAATACCTGAAGCACCGTCGAAGCCTCCCGCCACTCAAGCATGCTGGAACGGCAGGAGTGCCAAGCCTCCAAGGCAAAGACAGGACAGTCCGCCAGCCAGGACGACTCCGGAATCTCGTAACGGGACCAGAAAGGGAACGAAGTCCCAAACCTAAAAGCTGAGGGATCCATTGCTGAGGCTTAATCCAGGTCACGCAGGAGGTTCGCCTGCACCGCAACAGGTTGGATGCGATAAGCCGAAAACCTCTGGAAAGACGGAACGAAAGCACCCGGGGGTAACACGGAACCGAGCCAGGGGAGGGGCAGACACCAAGTCCAACTCGTTCGCAGAGGGGGGGGGGGGGGGGGGGAAGAAAACCCCACTCCTTGAAACAGTAAGCCCCGCTCAGAGGGTAGAAAACCCAGGCATGGTCCAGCGGGGCCCATGGCCCCCAAGTCAGCCCCTGCCCAGCCCCAGGGTCCTCCTCCGCAGGACCCGGGGCCGAGTCCTCCCCCCAAGCACCGACCTCACTAGACAAGGCCGGCGCAGCCGTAGAGGCCGGATAGAATGAGGCCCACTGGTCAGACCCAAAGGCTTCGGCCAGGGGAGGAGACTCGAATGCCTCCGTCGCCAAACCGGAAGGGGCATCCCCCAAGACTGCTCGAGTCTCAAGACCAACTAACCCCTGCCTCGACTCTGAAACCCTCGGACGTTTCTGAACCAGAAGCAGGGGAGTGGGACCAGAACGAACAACAGAAGGGGAAGGACTAGGAGGTGCAGACTGAACCAGGATCGAAGTGACCCCCACCCCCAAGTCCTTGTCCCTATAAGCAAAACAGGGCAGCCGCGGGGCAGCCGCAGGACATCCGGGTGAGCAACCAACCGAGCGTGTTGCAACAAACGAAACCTAGAATGCAATGCCTGCGCAGCCTGTACCCAAAGATGATCATCCACAGATTGGGTAAATTGAGTCACCAGCAAGCAGCAATACTCATAGGACTCAAGAGTCGAAAGTGTCACCGACCCAATAGGCTGCGTGACGGAGGCAAAAACAGTGAGGGTCGCCCTGAGACAAGGGAACCGAACAACCCTCAAACTCGCGTAAAGCGAGGGGGGACCCCGGGGTCACATCCATCAAACCCACGCGCCCCCTATGGGATTCCCAGGATCCTGAGCGTTTACTTGAAGAGGACTTGCACTCAGGTAAACACAGGCAGGGTACTGCTAACCGGCACCCAAAACTACCAAACAAACTGTCTAAAGCTGAACCCCAGGGATGTGTTCACTCATGGGGACCAAGCAGGGGGCACCACCAAGTATCTGGATGAGGCCAAACACCAGTGGCATGTAGGGCAACTCCCCCCCCCTCCACCAAGGCAAAAAGAAAAGCAAAACCCCGCAAGAGGACAACATACCCCAAGGAACAGAGCCGGCTGCTGTGATAGGCGATACCAAGCTGTGCAGCACCCTGCACCATTACCAGTGCAAAAACTGCCTCTTACCCTAAGGTAAATGAGGGAGACAAAACACCCACCCAATTACCCAAAGGGCGGCCGAAAAACCGAGCAGTTAAACGGACCCACAGAGGCAGACCCCCAGGAACTTGTGGAAGGTAACCCCAAGCTCCAAGGGCAGTACTTACAAGGCACCTAGGGAAGGGAACCCTAGGTGCATGCAGCCTGAGTACTGAGGAATAACTCCTGGCACTTGCACCCCTGGAGTACAGCGCCACACACAAGGCACAGTGCCGCAAAAAGACTTGAGCCAGAGCACACAACCGAGCCGATAGCATCAGCCTCAAGAACTGGGGGTGTGGATTACCAGCGTGGTGGGTGTGGGGCTACCCTGAGCTGTGCAGACAGCGGCGCGACGATGGGCGACATCATACTAGTTTGCTTGTTTTGTTTGGGGGAGTTCTATTCACTCATTCTACTTTTGGTTGCAATTTTCACCAGAATAGGGGTTTGTTTTGGGATGCCTACCTTTCTGGGTGCCTAACCAGGTCGATGGCAGACACAGAATGCTTCCAATCACACGGGGGTTTCTATAGGCCATTGCTCCCCATGCCTCTGAGGGGGCCAGGTTCTGGCTCGTGGTCCCCGGTAGGCCCATAGAACTCCATACACATAACTGATGCCAAAGTCTGACATTAGCATATCAGCCTAGAAAGCTCCGGGGAGTCGTAGGGGCTCCCCCCAGAAAACACTATCACAGGCCCTTCACATTTTTTGGAGTCAAGAGCTTACATACTGGCAGTATCCCTGACATACTGAAAACCACAGATAACACCACTTCATCAAGGAGGAAATAAGGCAGAGGCAAAAAACTACAGACTGATTGCACTAACATCACACATCATAAAAATCTTTGAAAGAGTGCTAGGAAGTAAGATCACAAAATACACGGAATCCCAGCATCTCCATAACCCTGGACAACATGGTTTCAGATCAGGGTGCTCTATCACAGTTGCTGGACCACTATGACATGGCCTTAGATGCCATGGAAAACAAACAAAACGCTGGTGTAATTTAGATAGATTTTGTAAAAGCCTAAGATAAATGTGACCATGGTGTTATTGCACACAAAATGTGTGTAAAAGGAATTACCGGAAAAATTAGCAGATGGATCAACAATTTTCTGACTAATAGACCCCAATGTGTAATAGTCAACAAAATAAAATCCGATCCATCAACCGTGAAGAGCTCAGTCCCTCAGGGTACTGTGCTTTCTCCAGTACTTTTTCTCATCCTCATATCGGACAAAGACAAGGACGCAATTTATAGTACTGTATCATCTTTTGCAGATGACACTAGGATTTTTATGAGAGTAGACAACATAGAGGACACGGCAAACCTCCAATCAGATGTAAATCAGGTCCATCTATTGGCTACAGAAAATAATATGGTGTTTAAAGAAGATAAGTTCCAGCTATGGAAAAGATGAAAATTTAAAAACGGAAACCATATATAAAACGCAGTGAAATCATAACATAGAACGAAAAGGCAACGTAAAGGATTTGGGTGTACTCATGTCGGAAGACCTTACCTTTAAAGAACACAATAAAGTAGCTGTCACAACTGCAGGAAAAATGACAGGATGGATAACAAGAACCCTTCACACTAGAGATGCTATACTGATGATGATACTTTTCAAGAATCTAGTGCTCTCTAGAGTGAAATACTTTTGCAAATGACAGCCCCTTTCAAAGCTGGTGAAATTGCTGACCTGGAGAGCGTGCAGAGATCCTTTACTGCTAGAATCCACTCGGTAAAACTTCTAAACTATTGGGACCGACTAAAATACCTAAATCTGTATTCCCTTGAGCACAGGCAGGAGAGATACATAATAATTTACACATAGAAAATAGTAGAGGGGCTGGTCCCAAACCTGCACACACAAATAACACCACATGAGACCAGAAGGCATGGCAGGATGTGCAGAATACCCCTGTTGAAGAACTGAGGTGCAATAGGTACGCTGAGAGAGAACTCTATCAACATCAGAGGCCCGAGACTGTTCAACACGCTTCCGCTACACATAAGGGGCATAACTGGCAAACCCCTCACAGTGTTCAAGAGAGAACTTGATAAGCACCTCCAAAGGATAACTGATTAACCAGGCTGTGATTCATACATCAGGCTGCGAGCAGCTGTGTCTAACAGCCTGGTTGACCAGTACAGCAACGAGGAGGCCTGGTCGAGGACCGGGCCACGGGGACACTAAGCCCTGAAACCATCTCAAGGAAACCTCAAGGTAAGGTATGCTGTGTCTGTGTGTTGTATATGTTCTCTATGCTGTGTGCATTGTATATGTTTTCTATGCTATGTATGTGTACTGTACATGTTCTCTATGCTATGTCTGTGTGATGTATATGTTCTCTATGCTGTTTCTGTGGGTTGTATATGTTATCTATGCTGGTCCTGGCTTGTGGAGCAACTAAACCAGGGTCTGCTCAGAAAACCAACATTTACCTCCATTTTCATAGCTATTATGACGACCAGAGGGTCGCCTGCCTCTACAGTCTGTCCTGGGGTGACGAACACCTTCTCAACCACCCCTGGCATTGGGGCAACTGCTCCACCAGTCACACCAGCAGCCTTTCCAATCTCCATTTCAAACTTAGGAGCTGGAACAGACAATCTCCATCCACCATTCTGAAAATAAAAGAGGATTAAACAAAATACATTATGAACACAGGTAACATACTAACAAATACAGGACACAGCTATGACTAAATGTGCCATATTAATGTGTAAAACAACTTGACACACACATGCTTGGATCTTTTGGCTTAGTGGCCCACACTATTTAATGGATATGAAATAGCATGGGCCTTGTGGTAATCACCGGGGTATCTCACTCCTATCCATAGCTGGGAAGATCCTTGCTTGTACCCTGGTGAACTGTCTCGACCTTCCACGCAGAGTGCAGAACTGTCCATATGATATTTGCTACACGTCGGCTCCAAGAAAAATAACGAGCAACATAGCAACCTCTTTGTGATTTTCGTTGATCTGACAAAGGCTTTCGATACAGTCAGTAGAGATGGCTTGTGGAAGATAATGGAGAAGTTTGGATAGCCCAGCAAGTTCACCACGAGTGTCGGGCAGTTCCACGATGGCATTATGGCTAAGGTACTAAATGATGGAGTCAGAAGCCTTCCCGGTGAAGAACGGCATATAGCAGGACTGTGTTCTCACCCCAACACTCTTCAGCATGATATTCTCAGCCATGATTACTGATGACCTCCACGACTGTCAGGATGGGATACACGTCAGATACAGGACTGACGGTAAGTTGTTCAACCTCAGGCACCTGCAGGCTGTTATAAAAGTGAAGAAAACTATCATAAAAGACTTCCTGTTCACTGATGATTGTGCCCTCGATGCCAACACAGCAAATGATGCAGCACGACATGGACTGCTTCTCACAAGCCTACGACAACTTCGGCTTCATCATCAGCACCAAAAAAACTGAAGTCATTCAGTCTTTTTGGATTTCCACAGGTAGTATCTTGGCACCACACTCAAGAATAGTGAAAAGATGTAGAAGCTAAGAACAGGATTGTAAAGGCCTTTGGAAAATTCTGCAAAAATGTTTTGGAGCGGAGGGGCCTCAGCCTTACCACCAAACTGAAGGTCTACCGTGCAATGCTACTCACCACCCTCCTCTATGCCAGTGTGACCTGGATTTCTACAGAAGACATGCCAAACAGCTCCATCACTTTCATTGGAGCTGCCTCTGCAGGACTCCTCCACATCAGGTGGCAGGGCAAAATCCAGGATTTGGAGGTATTAGAAAGGGCTGGTATTCCCAGCACTTACACCCTCCTAAAGGAAACTCGGGCTGGATGGGCAGGCCATGATGTTGTAATGCCTGACAGATGATTGCCTAAGCAGATGCTGTTTAGAGAAGCATGTTAGGGCATGTATTCAGTTGGGGACGTAGAAGAAAGGGTCCAAGGACTACCTCAAAATGACCCTCATAGACTTGGACATCAATCCCAGCAGTTAATTAAGAGTAGGTAGCTCAGAAACATTCAACTTGGCAAAGCAAAGTCACCACGGGGGCCCATGTGGCAGAGAATAGATGGACTGCGGTGGCCCAGAGGAAACACTACATGTGCAAAGCTAGAGCAACCTCCACCTCTATAGCAGCACCCACGCACATGTGACCCATGTGTGGGCAAACCTTCTGGGCCCGGATTGGTCTCATTAGTCATTTTCGGACACACAGACACCGATGTTCGACCTAATATTGAAGTCATGGTCATCTTCGACTCTGAAGGACGAACATCACTTAATGGATAATGTCTTGAGGTTGAGTTAAACCTTTGAGAGAGTGAGTAAAATACCCAGGAGAGCATCACTTTTACCAATTACTTTACAGTCAGTCTTAAGGAGCTAGCATCTTTTGAGAGGCCATGTCATAATGCACCAAGCCTGCGTTCAGACTGTAAGCATAAGGCTTCACTTCACTTTTAATATATGTGTATATTCAGGAATTTATTAATATGGATTGGTGCTCTATAAGTTTATGAAATGCTGTACAATGATTCAAATGCAATTGAATGATTCATGCAATTTCAGTGGAGGGGGGAGGGAGGGGGGTCTCCAAACTACGGCCTGCCACAAGGTTTTATCTGGCCTACAGCAGCTTGAAGTACACTCGAGGTCTGTCTGTCTGTCTGTCTGTCTGTCTGTCTGTCTGTCTGTCTGTCTGTCTCTGTGTCTCTGTGTCTCTGTGTCTCTGTGTCTGTGTCTCTGTGTCTCTGTGTCTGTGTCTGTGTCTCTGTGTCTCTGTGTCTCTGTGTCTCTGTGTCTCTGTGTCTCTGTGTCTCTGTGTCTGTCTCTGTAATTACCTAAGTGTAGTTACAGGATGAGAGCTACGCTCGTGGTGTCCCGTCTTCCCAGCACTCTTTGTCATATAACGCTTTGAAACTACTGACGGTCTTGGCCTCCACCACCTTCTCACTTAACTTGTTCCAACCGTCTACCACTCTATTTGCGAAGGTGAATTTTCTTATATTTCTTCGGCATCTGTGTTTAGCTAGTTTAAATCTATGACCTCTTGTTCTTGAAGTGCCAGGTCTCAGGAAATCTTCCCTGTCGATTTTATCAATTCCTGTTACTATTTTGTATGTAGTGATCATATCACCTCTTTTTCTTCTGTCTTCTAGTTTTGGCATGTTTAATGCTTCCAACTTCTCGTAGCTCTTGCCCTTCAGTTCTGGGAGCCACTTCGTAGCATGTCTTTGCACCTTTTCCAGTTTGTTGATGTGCTTCTTAAGATATGGGCACCACACAACAACTGCATATTCTAGCTTTGGCCTAACAAAAGTCATGAACAATTTCTTTAGTATATCGCCATCCATGTATTTAAATGCAATTCTGAAGTTAGAAAGCATCGCATAGGCTCCTTGCACAATATTCTTTATGTGGTCCTCAGGTGATAGTTTTCTATCTAGAACCACCCCTAGATCTCTTTCTTTATCAGAATTCTTTAAAGATTTCTCACATAATATATAGGTTGTATGGGGTCTATGTTCTCCTGTTCCACATTCCATCACATAACATTTATTAACATTAAATTCCATTTGCCAAGTGGTGCTCCATATACTTATTTTGTCCAGGTCTTCTTGAAGGGCATGACAGTCATCTAAATTTCTTATCCTTCCTATTATCTTAGCAAGAGTGAGTGAGTGAGTGAGTGAGTGTGAGTGAGTGTGTGTGTGAGAGAGTGTGTGTGTGTGTGTGTGTGTGTGTGTGTGTGTGTGTGTGTGTGTGTGTGTGTGTGTGTGTGTGTGTGTGTGTGTGTGTGTGTGTGTGTGTGTGTGTGTGTATATATATATATATATATATAGGGGGGTACCACCACTGGTGTAATTATAGGGACCCACAGCCTCAGAGAAGGGAACACAGAGCACTCAGGGAAAAACTTGACATTTAACTCTGAATACGAAAGAGTGTTCACTTCTCCTACCACCCCCTTTTTTTTTTATTATGATGTACACTTTATTATGCAAGGTTATACAGTTACATATCTGATTTTATACAAAAAATGAACATTAAGAGGACACAAGAAAAAGTTCGCTTCCTAGAGGCTGTAGATTTCCTCGAACTCCTCCGACGCCGGGCAGGAACCGAGGATGCAGCGGGCATTTCCCCTCTGGATCGCGACACTGAGGCGCTGAAAGAGAAAACTTGCTGCTCTAGGGTCTCTTGTGGTGTCAATGAGCTTGGAACCAAGATCCTTAAGAAACCTTCTTGCACTCTCACCCCATGGGCCTAGGGTCTCAGACCCTATTGGAACGAAATTGTACCTTTGATCTAATTGCCTGTACTTGACTGACTTTTGTTTTTCTCTGTGTATATATATATATATATATATATATATATATATATATATATATATATATATATATATATATATATATATATATATATATATATACACACACACATATATACAGTGTATATGTATATGTATATGTATATGTATATATATATATATATATATATATATATATATATATATATGTCGTACCTAATAGCCAGAACGCACTTCTCAGCCTACTATTCAAGGCCCGATTTGCCTAATAAGCCAAGTTTTCATGAATTAATGTTTTTTCGTCTACCTAACCTACCTAACCTAACCTAACCTAGCTTTTTTTGGCTACCTAACCTAACGTTACCTATAAATATAGGTTAGGTTAGGTTAGGTAGGGTTGGTTAGGTTCGGTCATATATCTACGTTAATTTTAACTCCAATAAAAAAAAATTGACCTCATACATAGAGAAAAGGGTTGCTTTATCATTTCATAAGAAAAAAATTATAGTAAATATATTAATTCAGGAAAACTTGGCTTATTAGGCAAATCGGGCCTTGAATAGTAGGCTGAGAAGTGAGTTCTGGCTACTAAGTACGACATATATATATATATATATATATATATATATATATATATATATATATATATATATATATATATATGTCGTACCTAGTAGCCAGAACTCACTTTTTGGCCTACTATTCAAGGCCCGATTTGCCTAATAAGCCAAGTTTTCCTGAATTAATATATTTTTTCTAATTTTTTTCTTATGAAATGATAAAGCTACCCATTTCATTATGTATGAGGTCAATTTTTTTTTATTGGAGTTAAAATTAAAGTAGATATATGACCGAACCTAACCAACCCTACCTAACCTAACCTAACCTATCTTTATAGGTTAGGTTTGGTTAGGTAGCCGAAAAAGTTAGGTTAGGTTAGGTTAGGTAGGTTAGGTAGTCGAAAAACAATTAATTCATGAAAACTTGGCTTACTAGGCAAATTTGGCCTTGCATAGTAGGCTGAGAAGTGAGTTCTGGCTACTAGGTACGACATATATATATATATATATATATATATATATATATATATATATATATATATATATATATATATATATGTCGTACCTAGTAACCAGAATGCAATTCTCAGCCTACTATGCAAGGCCCGATTTGCCTAATAAGCCAAGTTTTCCTGAATTAATATATTTTCTCTATTTTTTTTCTTATGAAATGATAAAGCTACCCATTTCATTATGTATGAGGTCAATTTTTTTTATTAGAGTTAAAATTAACGTAGATATATGACCGAACCTAACCAACCCTACCTAACCTAACCTATCTTTATAGGTTAGGTTGTGTTAGGTAGCGGAAAAAGTTAGGTTAGGTTAGGTTAGGTAGGTTAGGTAGTTGAAAAAACATTAATTCATGAAAACTTGGCTTATTAGGCAAATCGGGCCTTGCATAGTAGGCCAAGAAGTGAGTTCTGGCTATTAGGTACGACATATATATATATATATATGTCGTACCTAGTAGCCAGAACTCACTTCTATGCCTACTATGCAAGGCCAGATTTGCCTAATTAGCCAAGTTTTCATGAATTAATTGTTTTTCGTCTACATAACCTACCTAACCTAACCTAACCTAACTTTTTCGGCTACCTAACCAAACCTAACCTATAAAGATAGGTTAGGTTAGGGTAGGTAGGGTTGGTTAGGTTCGGTCATATATCTACGTTAATTTTAACTCCAATAAAAAAAAATTGACCTCATTCGTAATGTAATGGGTAGCTTTATCATTTCATAACAAAAAAGTTAGAGAAAATATATTAATTCAGGAAAACTTGGCTTATTAGGCAAATCAGGCCTTGCATAGTAGGCCGAGAAGTGCGTTCTGGCTATTAGGTACGACATACATACATACATACATACATACATACATATTATATATATATATATATATATATATATATATATATATATATATATATATATATATATATATATATATATATATATATATATATATATATATATATATATATATATATATATATATATATATATATATATATATATATATATATATATATATATATATATATATATATATATATATATATATATATATATATATATATATATATATATATATATATATATATATATATATATATATATATATATATATATATATATATATATATATATATATATATATATATATATATATATATATATATATATATATATGTCGTACCTAGTAGCCAGAACTCACTTTTTGGCCTACTATTCAAGGGCCGATTTGCCTAATAAGCCAAGTTTTCCTCAATTAATATATTTTTTCTAATTTTTTTCTTATGAAATGATAAAGCTACCCATTTCATTATGTATGAGGTCAATTTTTTTTATTGGAGTTAAAATTAATGTAGATATATGACCAAACCTAACCAATCCTACCTAACCTAACCTAACCTATCTTTATAGGTTAGGTTGGGTTAGGTAGCCGAAAAAGTTAGGTTAGGTTAGGTTAGGTAGGTTAGGTAGTCGAAAAACAATTAATTCATGAAAACTTGGCTTATTAGGCAAATCTGGCCTTGCATAGTAGGCTGAGAAGTGCGTTCTGGCTACTAGGTACGACATATATATATATTATATATTATATATTATATATATATATATATATATATATATATATATATATATATATATATATATATATATATATATATTACTGTTATAAAATTAATTATTTTGTGTTTTTCCTCAACCACGCGGTGAGGGAGATGACATGTCCAGTTTCTATCCACTGCATTCTTTCCCATATGACACCAAGCCAGTGTTGTCAGGATTTCCTTCCAAAATCCTTACAACATGACAACAGTGTTGTCATGTTGTAAGGATTTTGACATTCCTTCCGTCATTCCTAATTCCTCGTGAAATAAATGTTTTACAGTGTTTTACCTATGGAAGTCTTCTAATCTGGAACCACTGAAAATCATTTAGCTGCATATCAGTGAGATAATTTGATTGAGCTTGTAATAATTATTAAAAAATGAATAGCTTGCTTTTCTGACCTGCAATTAAGAAAATGATTCATGCATCAGAGCATTTGCCAAGGTGATATTTTGACTTATATAATTTTCCATTGTAAGTACGGCTTCCTTTCTTTGTAACTGACGTTTCTCTCTTTGTTCTGAATCATATAATGTTCATACCCCCCCCAAAGATAAAATAAAAACAGTCATACATTTTTAAAACCATTTTTTTCCTTTGGCCTGCAAAATTGTCCAAAATATACAACGTGGCATTCGTACAGAAAAGTTTGGAGACATCTGCTATAAAGTCCAACATAGGCCTACATCTACCAACCGCCGGCAACACCTTAGTCATATCCAACCCCCTCCAGAAATGAGACTGGAAGCCCTGAGTACAAAGCAGGTCTGAAATAGGCTGACAAGATGCAGCAGCAGAAGACAAACTCACCAACAATATCGAGAGGCATAAAGGTGAGGTGGACAAGGTGGCACAAGTGGACAAGGTGGCACAAGTGGACAAGGTATGTGGAAGATGACTCAAACTCAAGAACATCAGGGGCCATCAAAGAGCTATACTCCAGGTCACACGGTAGGTACATAAAGGTCATCCTCACGAGCTAATGATGGAGGGACTCAAGAGGAAGGAAACCTCTGCAAGGATGGTTATGATTTAAGTGACCATTCTAGCTAAAATTATCCCTAGATCAGGCAAATGAATTGATACATTTAATGTGTTTGAAACAGAAGGATCAGTATTTACAGGTTTATAGCACTTTAGAATACACCCCCATGGGTCATACTTGGTGTGACTTCTAATCTTAATGTTAACATTTTTCACACTTCTTTATCTGAAGGCTCAGTACACACCAACTCTTCACTGCCCAAAGAGCAGTAGGATCCAAAAACTAAGCCCCCTTAGGGGCATAGTTTTTTTTTTTTTTTTTTTTTAGATTTCTGAGGTCAGAAATCTTAATGCTACAAATTCCAGCCAACCATGGGTGCTGGCACTTGAGTCATGGGGTACAAACATACCCCTGAATTTGGTGTGGCTTTCATTCTGATTGGCTCTGTTCTCATGAGGGGTTGGCCTCCATGTGTTTTGAGTGGACAAGACATACCCAAAACTCCCCCCCCTCTATTTGCCAGTTAAACAATGAATCTCTATTCTGTTCCCCTTAGAGTGGAGGCCATCAGGGCTTTGACATTTTTCAGGTCATTAACCTGTCATAGCCTAGGCCTTTCCTGACACTCAAATTCCCCCAAATACACTGGAGAGTATAAATGTCTCCCTCATGGAGCCATTTGTCAAGATGTGAAAACCAAATGACTCTCAACACTACACTTGGCCTGATAGGTTTGCTTAGACCCCACTGATGATTCCAAGACCCCAGTTGGATCCTGGAGAGAACCTCAGGCAGCTGTTATAGTCTGTATTACCTCGCTCACTTTTTGGATGTTTTCTCGGTGAGAGTGATCATAACAATCTCATGCTCCCCGCCCTCTACACTGGGGCCAAGTTCTGGCTCTCATCCCTGACAGGCCATTCACGACTACTAAGGCTGGTGTGACTTAGTAGTGGGGAAATACCTCGGTGAGCTAGCTTCAGAGAGTCATCGTCTCCAGAAACTACAGGATGAAATGATAATATATCCTTCCTAACGGGGATACAGTATCTAATTACCAAGCTTTTCAGAAAACCTTCCATCCATTAATCCCTTATCTCACAACTCCCCTTATCCACACCAGGTAATTTTCAATAACTTTGACTTTCTCCTCCACCATCAACTACACTGATGCAGACACAAGGGAAGAATGCACTAGCATTTATGTATACTGACAAATAGCAGTAAGAACAGAAAAAATAAGTATTATAAGCAAAGCCTTACCTGTGTGAAGACATGAATATCTCTATCCTCCAATACAATGTGAGAACGGGATACACATCCATCAATATATGCCGTCAACTGGCGAACATTGTTATTGCACACAAGGGATCCCTTCACATCAAAACTTGTTCCATTTACTGTCATGTGGTATTTTCCAGACCCCAAATATTCAACTTGGACACTTTCATCTGTAATACATGTAAAGTAATGTTAAAAATATACTTCATACACATTTATCCAATTAAATACAATAATTACAAAAAAACACTGTTGAGCAGGCGATGAGTCACAATAACGTGGCTAAAGTATGTTGATCAGACCACACACTAGAAGGTGAAGGGACGACGACATTTCGGTCCGTCCTGGACCATTCTCAAGTCGATTGTGTCCACTTAAGAATGGTCCAGGACTTCACAATCGACTTGAGAATGGTCCAGGACAGACTGAAACGTCGTCGTCCTTTCATCTTCTAGTGTGTGGTTTGGTCAACACTGTTGAGCGCAATGAAATGCTAATTCTGGGTGAACCTCGATGGTTCCCTGAAGCTATACACTAAAATGGTTTCCCTCTACTAGGCTGAATAAGCAGTGGAGTTCTTTGACCTACTGGGAAGCAGTGCCAGAACCTGGCTTCCTCACCCAGGCAAAGGGAGTGGGGGACATTTCACCACCTCACCGAGGAAAGGTACCCAGAAAGTCTGCAAGTTAAAACAAATCACTGCTGGGTTAAAGAACCAGCTTTGAATGTAATGAAACACCATTTTCTGGGCGAGTCCCGGAGGCTCCCTGGAGCTATCTATCCAGGCTGATATGCTAATGTCAGACTTTGGCATCAGTCATGTGTATGGAGTTCTGTGGGCCTACCAGGGACCACGAGCCAGAACCTTGCTCTTTCCCCCCCCCCCCCTCACAGAGGCACGAGGAGCAATGGCCAATAGAAACCCCCGTGTGGTTGGAAGTATTCTATGTCTACCATCGACCGGGTTAGGCACCCAGAAAGGAAGGCGTCCCAGAACAAACCCCTATTCTGGTGAAAATTGCTATAAGAAGCTGAATAAATAGATAGAACTCCCCAAAAAGAAACAAGCAAAAGAGTATGACGTCACATGTCGCTGCGCCGCCATCTGCGCAGCTCTTCCCTCCCTGGGAGGGAAAAGGGGGAGCCTCAGACCCCCGCACTGGCTATCCACCCCTTCAGTTCTGAGGCTGGACATCAAAACACGTGAAAACTGCTGACCGGAGGGAGGGAGGGATGCCAGGGAGCCTCTAGGACTCTCCCAAAAAATGGAGTTTTATTACATTCAACACTGGTTTTTCTGGGGGGGGGGGGCCGTTGGCTACCCAGAGCTACTGACTCAAAGACGAAAACAAGAGGAACCACAGGCTGGCAAAACCGAACCACACGGCCCGAGAGAAACAGTCTCAAGAACAGAGAAGAAGGGAACCCGGAATAACCCAAAGTGTGACCCCTGGTCATGGCAGCCGTGGCACGCCAAGCACGGCTAAGTGGCGCAACCAAACACAACACACGATGCACCCCCGGTCTTATCAACTATGTACAGTGGTACCTCGGATTACGAACATCCCTGTTTACAAATTTTTCGGATTACAAGCAGGATTTGCACGGAAAATTTACATCGGAATACGAGCGTTGCTTCGGAATACGAGGGTGTTGATACGCGTACAGGCCAACCTAGCGCGTGGTGGCACGGCGACCATCCCTCAGTTTACCAGTGCCTTGCGCCCAGTTACTATCCCGCCTGAATTCTTCACCAGGATTTACAGTGTTTTGTTGTATTTTTGGCCATTTGAGCATAAAAGTTGTTGTTATATATTTTGCAATGGGTCCCAAGAAAGCCAGTGGTAAGGTTCAACCTAAGAAAATAGTTGCGAGTAGAGGCAGTAGAGGATGTCCCTTCTTCATTAAGAAAATGTGTTAGGTATGGGAAGACCTGCAAAGTTTTGTTGAAAAAACTCACCCAGATAAAGCTGTAGCAGGCCGTTGCATTGACCTTTTAAATGACAATGTGATTTCTTACTACAGATAAGTGTTAAAATATAGGGAAAAACAAATGTCTTTAGACAGTTTCTTGGTAAGACAAGCAAGCAGTGAGCCACAAGCACGTCCTAGTGGTATGCAGGCAAAACGTGCCAGAGAATGCACTCCAGAGAGGTCCTCACTGCCTGATGTTATAATGGAAGGGGACTCCCCTTCCAAACAGTAACACCTCTCCTCCTTCCCCTCCTCACCATCTTCCATATGCCAACAGCAGTCATCAGCAAGGGTAAGTAATAACTTGAACATACTTTTGTAGTGTAGATTTTGATGAATTAGGTATAAAATTTAGTTGGAAGTGAGGTTTTTGGGTAGTCAGGAACGGATTAATTCATTTCCCATTATTTCTCATGGCGAAATTAACTTCAAAACAATCGACTTGAGAATGGTCCAGGACGGACTGAAACGTCGTTGTCCCTTCACCTTCTAGTGTGTGATCTGGTCAACATACTTTAGCCACGTTATTGTGACTCATCGCCTGCAGCTGGCAGTATGAATTTTCCTGGCGGTCCTTCTGTTATTTCTTGTCCTTTCGTAGGAGTACTTCTGTCTCTGTTCTGGTTGTATTGTCCTTCCTTTTGTGGTTGTTCCAGGACCATCATCTTATACCGAATACTCTTGCCTCATATCGTACGACACTGGCGGAGCTGCTGCAGCTTGCGGTTTGGCATTGATGTTACTTCTGCGCCTATCTGCAAGCTGTCTCATGCATTGTTTCACTTCCGGCCTGCTCATGTGCTACCTGAACTGTCCTGGTCGTTGGACCGGGTGCTCTCATTTTCTCTTTTTGCCTCAGTTTGTGTTGGCCCTACGGTTCAGGATTGTTTTTCCAAGGCTCTTTTCCTGTTGGCATTGGCCTCTGGGGGTCGTGTCGGGGAGCTTGAGGCTCTCTTCCAGCGCAGGGATTTCTGCTCTATTGGTCCTGTTGGTAGGTTGGTTCGTTTGCAGCCGTCTCCTTTTCTGGTAAAGAATGCGACTGCTGCTTTCCAGAGGGGTCCTTGAGTTGTTGATGCTTGGATGGTTAGGCCAGGGGGTGCATCGTGTGTATTGTGTCCGGTCACGGCTCTCCACTGTTACCTGTGCACCACGGCCTCGGTGGCCGGGGACACGCTTTGGGTTGATCCGGTTACCCTCCTTCCCTGTTCTAGGGTTCGGGTCTCCCAAGTCATTTACAGGGTTATTCGGTTCGGCCAGCTTGCGGTCTATCTCCGTGCCCACGACGTGCGTACGTTTGCTGCTATGGCTGTGTCTTCGGTAACATGTCTTGGGCTGATGTTCGGCCGTGGGGTTTTTGGAGGTCATGCAGGGTCCTGGCGGCTCGCTATCTTGTCGATTTTCCTGGGCCTAGTTGTGCCTGTGTCGCTTTGGGTCGACAGTTGCAGCCTGTTGTCTCGACTTTGAGATAAGGAGCGAGTGACAACCGCCTCCCAGGTAGGTCCTTCTTGTTTTAGTCTTTGGGTAAATAGCTCTGGGGAGCCAAAGGGGCTCCCCCCCCCCAGAAAACCAGCTTTAAATGTAATGAAATGCCATTTTCTGGGTAAGACCCGTAGGCTCCCCGGCACCCCTTTCTCCCTCTGGTCTGCGTTTTATTTATTTTTTTGCATGTTTTTGATATCCAGCTTCAGAACTGGGGTGTGCATAGCCAGTGAGAGGGGTCTGGGTCTTCCCATTTCCCCTCCAGGGGATGGGGGAGCTGCACAGATAAGTGGCGTGGCGACGTGGTGATAACATGCTCCGTTGCTTGTTTTCATTTGGGGAGTTCTGGCCACTAGTTCGCTTGTGGTAGCAATTTCTTAACCAGAATAGGGGTTTGTCTTGGGGTGCTTACCTTTCTGGGTGCCTGACCCAGTCGATGGCAGACATAGAATGCCTCCAACCACACGGGGGTTTCTATAGGCCATTGCTCCCCTTGCCTCTTCTGAGGGTGCCAGATTCTGGCTCGTGGTCCCCGGTAGGCCTACAACTCCATTCACATTGACTAATGCCAAAGTCCAATATATCCATATCAGCCAGGATAGCTCCGGGGAGCCTCAGGGTCTCAACCAGGAAATGGCATTTCATTGCATTCAACACTGTTTTCTGGGGGAGCCCCTTCGGCTCCCCGGAGCTTACTAGACTGATATGCTAATGTCAGACTTTGGCATCAGTCATGTGTATGGACTTCAATGGACCTACCAGGGACCACGAGCCAGAACCTGGCCCCCTCAGAGAGGCATGGGGAGCAATGGCCTATAGAAACCCCTATGTGGTTGGAAGCATTCTATGTCTGCCATCGACCGGGTCAGGCACCCAGAAAGGTAAGCATCCCAAATCAAACCCCTATTCTGGTGAAAATATTGCTACCAAAAGCCGAACATATGGATAGAATTTCCCTAAACGAAACCAGCAAACGATCATGACGTCACATGTCGCTGCGCCGCTGTCTGCACAGCTCCCCCCTCCCTGGGAGGGGGAAGGGGAAGCCCTAGACACCCACATGCCGGCTATCCACCCTTTAGTTCTCAGACTGATGCTAGAGGCGGAGGTCGTATGCTTGGCTCCACAGTTTTCAGCACTGTACTTAAGAGTGTGGTGGCTGTCTTCGAGGGGTGCGAGAGCCAGGAATTATTGTAGGTACTCAGGCTGCACATGCCTAGGGCTGCCTTCCCTAGGTGCCCTGTAAGTACTGCCCTTGGGGCTTGGGGCCACCTTCCACAAGCTCCTTGGGACCTGCCTCTACTAGGCCGTATTACTGCTCGGTTTTTCGGCCGCCCTTTGGGTGCTTGGTGGTTTGTCTTTCTTGTTTACCTTAGGGTAAGTGGCAGTTTGCACTGGTGGGGCGCTGGGTGCTGCGCAGCTTGTTTTCACCACTCACAGCGGCTGGCTCTGTTCCTTGGGGTACGTTGTCGTCTTGCGGCATTTTGTTTTTCCTTTTCTTTTTGCCTTGTGAGGGGGGTTCGCCTTACTTCCCCTCTTGTGCCTGATCTGTGCAAGTTTTTTTTCTGGTGGAGCCCCCTGCTCGGTCCCCGTGAGTGTACACGGGGACTGAGATCCTCACTGTCTTTGTGTTCGGGGTCGGGGCGGGGCTTCAGTGGTCTTGAGACTCTGGCGGTCTCGGGGAATTCCCCTTCCGGAATAGTGACGGAGGCATTCA